ATATTGGTTGGATCGATTTGGTGAATAAAAACATAACGGTTTGTTATTTGACCTTATTGTTGTAACAGTTATTGATGCTTACTGCTTAATAAGTGATAAGTTAAATACTATTATTTTTATAGTTCACCTCTGTACCATTTACATTCTTCCCACTAATGACCGTACCTGTCTTACATGCCCTTAAATAGGAATCGAAGAGATGAAGTGAACGGAGTATAAGAATAAACAAGAATCTCTGAGAAAGTGTTGCAAGGGGGGGACCGTTCCCATTATGTTACAAATTCACAGCCGTTATAATCCCTTCAGCAATGGCAGGACGTATAAACTGTGACCTTGACAAGCACACAACTGCTCCAAACCTCATCTTTGCTCTTTACACTTGTGGCGTTGAAGAAAGTTGAGCAAGAAAGAACAGTGGTTGAGCTTACACTGATGAGTGGTAGACGAAACCTAGATGTGTGCAGGATCTTGGAACACGCGTCTGCAATTAAATGTTATACTGATCCAACAATTTATTCTCATACGACATCATATTGCAAAATAAAAATGATAAAATTGTGAACATAATTTTTGTAAAAGGTTGTTCACTTGTATTTCAAAAGGTACACTGATTGCCTATAGATAAAAGTATTCTCATAAAGTTATGCGTAATGTTTCACACTCCGCAATGTACAAACAATAATTGGCGCGAGTTACGATGGTTGCGTTGCGACAAATCAGTGCTGGTTTAACCAGTGCAGCGTAAATCCACGTCTGCATATGATAGGAATTGATGAGTTAAATGCGCCAAGATCTTCTTGCTGAGACTCGTCAGACAATAAATGTACAGGCACCGAGGCAAAGTAACCAAGTTTTCGATAATTAATCTGGCAAATATTTAAGCTGTAGGATGAGGTGCTAAAGAAGAGAAATAAAGAGAAAGGGACGAGGAGCAGAAAAGAAAAGAATGTTGTTTCACACTGGGTGATGAATCAGCAGATTATATTTTTGGACAAAGCTGCGAACGAAGAGACTTAATTTAGATAATGGGGACAATATACAGTATATGACAAATCGCTACAGAGAAACAGGCTTCAGCTGATGGAGGAATGGTTAAAGAATAAAGTGCAATAAATGAGCAACAGTGTTGAAAAATTAACTGAATCGCTGTTTTTACTCTAAAAAACTGCTGCACAATCTTATTGTCGTTATCGAACACCAACTATTAAGTTAGGTGTTTGAAATTTAAGCAGTAGGATATGGTTGAATAACAAAACCAGTATAGAACAGAAAAAATGTATCTAAGAAGCATATGAGGTGAATGGCTGCAGCGTAACCATTCATCAAGAGCAGGAGACAAACAAAACGTTTTGTCCTACAGACATAGGTGGATGAAACCATTTTTATTCACTGATCAATCACTCAAGTCCCTCTTATTGATGTCGGAGCCTTCTGAAGTGACTGCCAAAATACAAGTGTCTCATTCAAGGCTCTATGTTACGCACCCTGTTAGGAAGCACCAAGTCTAAATGTATGATGCTTTAGGATAGACCGTTGATAGTACACTGAAACACTATTGTAAAGTATCATAGTATCATCATGAAGTATAGACTTTCAAACGAAATAAGTTAGCTAGAGTAAACTAGTAAATGAAGAAGTGTGAGAATTTGATAATCATTAGATAAGCGGTAAGCACAAAGAGATCCCTGAATACATTACAAAAGCTGTTAAGTGATAGTCCGTGCTTACATTTTTGAAATTCTCGTGCTTAATCGCATATTTGACAAAACCTAAAACGGTATTTTGCAGTTCTCATATACCAATAAGCTGCTTATGAGTAATTATAGTAATAGTGAAGGTGAAGGTAAAATATTCTTTAGTAGCACCGGCCGATAGTCCCTTGCTGTTTAAAAAACAATAACATTTTCACCAGAAGTCAGACAAAGTGTCTTCAGCAAAATACGTTAGTAACTCCTTAGTAGTTGTTACACGGGCTTAATCATACTCTTAAGTCTCCTGAGTGACAATTCTAGTCACCAAATGATTAACTTATTAACGACACCTACTAACAATGAAAGCAGTGACTGACGGAGAAAACTTCAAAATCTTACTTTATGTGTTAATTCTGTCAATAGAAAGGCTAATGCACTAGGACTGGAAGAGCCTTTCCCTCAGGTTGTAATGCAAAAGCCGAAATTAAAACATATGAGATCTTTACCCCATTACGAGTCATTAAAAGTGAAAACATTACTGACATTATCCATTTATAGCTGTGGCTATTACATAATTGTATAATTTCATACCACATCGACATCATACAAGTTCCATTGAGCTTGAATTGGATGGAAGTATTTCGGTTTCTTGGGATCCTACTGGGGGATTCTGTGAGCCATCCTCACATCATGATGCTGATCAGGTTATGGCTGATTATTAATATTCCTCTGAAAATCTAAACACAAACAAGCATTACTAAGAAAGTTCTAAGAATTAATGGTAATCGAGAGTGTTGGCAAACGCAAATGTCAATGAAGTTTGACTGAAATTTTAATGTTTTTAACACAATTCTGACACTAGGGTGTGTCGCAAGTACATTCAGGATAGCATTAAGTTTCTTGATTGTAATAATTTCAAAAATTGCAGCCAGTTTTTTCCTAAAAGCTGAAGATTTCACAAAAAAGGAATTTAAAGCTAATGATTTTGGGGCGAAAGTTGATCAGTTTTGATTTGTCTACCTACCGCTGATGTCTTGAGTACTGGATACTACGGCTTTACAGAAACTACTGGAGCATGTTATCTTAGTGCTCATTACGAACAAAATTAGTTTAACCTACCTAAATGACATCTGTGATCGTTCATGTAACTCGCTCGTCTATAATAAATTCCAAGTTCACAAAAACAAAACTTGTCTATTTTCAGTAAATGTGTGAAATAAGAAAAAAACTCATCTTGCATGCATTAGGCAAGGTTTGTGTTTGCCACAAGTCATATAAAACCACTTGTGTCAGTAAATAAAGACGGATAATCCACAAAGGATTATTTTTGAAATGCATCCATGGAAATGTTGTCGGTAAATGAGGTGTCACAATAGCTAAGTCCCGCAAAAATTCAACAAGCCCAAGAAATTTAACAGATTCTAACAATATTCATCCCATAGTCTCGAAACGAAGCCAGAGAAGCATTTTGTTTACCTGTTCAGACATTCCCTGGAGTCACATCAACTCCCACTTGAATGGAAACAGGCTACTCTCTCCAGGATTCAAAGGAGGAGACAGGAAGGACCCAGCTTGTTACAGACCTGTCGCGTTACTACCAGTACCTTCAAAAGTGGAGGAAGGGCTGGTGAACAAACAGATAATGGGGTACATGGATAAGAAGAAAATACTGCATGGAGCTCAGCACGGGTTTCGGAAAGGCAGGTTGCACGCATCCAATCTTCTCATAGCACAGGACAGTCGGACATCCTGCATGAACGGAAAAACACCGGTGCACATAATATTTCTTGACTTTGCGAAAGACTTTGACACAGTGCCCGAAGCTGGCATAATTGAGAAGGTTGCGGAAGTAGGCTCCGCTTACCCACTCCAATCTTGACTCAGAAACTACCTTGAGAATAGGAAGTTCCGTAATAAAGTAAATAGACTGCACGCAAGATGGTGAGTCTCAAAATCGGAAGACCATCTTAGGTCCACTTATCTTCCGTATATGCATCGATGACCTGTTAGAGATAGTTATCTTATCAGCATTCATATACGCAGACGATGCAAAGATCTTGAGGTTCATTATAAGCTAATAGGATTCGACTGAACTTCAAAAGGACCTCACGTTCATTGAGGAATCGACCGTGAAAAACGGTTTAAAACTCAACCAAACGAAGTGTCACGTCATGTACATTCTGCCCCACATGACACAGAAGATGGAAGTCCGCTCCCGAACGTCTCCTCAAAGCGCCATCTCGGTCTGATAACGACTGCGAGCCTCCACACCAGCTTGAACTATAAAGGGGATGCAGCCCAAGCAAATATAACTCTTCACTTAATGTGAAGACAAATCGGTGCTATCACCTCTGAATTATTCTTAACGCTGTATATGAAAATGCACGCCCACACCTTAAGGTTCAAAACGTCGTCGTTCCCCCTTTCCTCGAAAGGAACGCAAACCTCTTGGATCGAGTGTAGAGACGAGCAACGAAATTGGAGGTAGGGTTGAATGATAAAACTTACGAGGATAGACTCATGCATTTGGAATTGTTCCCGCTAAGTTACAGGAGAATTAGGGGTGATTTGATAATGGCGTATAACATATTAAGCACTCCAAACCATCCCAACGTGAGTATCATACCTTTGCATCACCATCACTCCACAGGAGGCAATCCTTGAAAAACTGCGCACCAAAGAGCAAGTACTCGGGTTCGTGAACACTTTTTTCATTAAGAGCCGTTGCAATCTGGAATGCTCCCTCCCCCTGTCGAGATGACCACAGCACCCTAAGTGGGCAGCTTTAAGAAGAAGCTTGATAATCACGTACCCACATACGGATTACCATTTCCCTCGTGGACAAACCGTACCTGATGCATGCCTTGAAACTTGCTAGTCATTGTTAATGCCTTCTCCTCAGATCACTTACTTAATCTACCTCGCCTATTATCTCTGTTTCCTCTCCCTTGCTTATACTTCGATCCTATCGCTCAATGTTTACTACCAATTAATAAACTAAATTATCCATTATTTACTTAATCCTGAAATGTTACTCTTATTAGCATTAGAATATTCTCATTATAATTTTCGACACTGCAACTAACTGATCTCCGGTCTGGTAACGTTATAGCTGCTGGTATCCAGAAAATCTACTGTCATGAAACAAATGTATTCACTCAAATCAAGGGACATACAAACTCACAAACCACTGCCAACTGACTAGAATTAGAAAGTCTAGTGGTTAGACCCCCATACACTGGACACTACCAAACACCTGCAACTGTACCGAAAGAACAAGAATCGAGCACAAAGAAATCAAGGGGTTTATTGGATGACTGCGCCTAATTCGAACGACTTGCGATACCTCAGCATCCCCCGATGGGGGAAAAGGTAGGTACTTCAAAAGAGTCCGCACATTGTCCCACGTTATTTCCGTAGAGTTCTTAATTATTTCGCCTTTATAGGTAGCGTGGGTCTGTAAGCTATCCTTTCTAGTATATATATCGTACGGCATGACCAGACGTTTTGAATAGGTAGCTGCACATCGCTTTCCGAGTAACGATGATGTTTACACTGTCAAGGATTTATTATACAGCTGGTGGACGTACAATATGATGTGGATTAAAAGTCGAATATTTAATATGTGTATTTTTGAGAAAGAGTCAGTCTTACGGAAACAGAATGCTCCGTTAGGTCAGTTTTGGACAGTTCGGATGGTCTATATTGAGGGATCGTTTTGTTACTTTTAAGAGTCTAACGTACCACCTAGGAGGTTTTCTTGAAGCCACTATATCCAGACAGCTGATGGTCATTCATATCCATGTATCAATTACTTAAATGTGAAATGATTGTATCATCTGACAGATGAAAGTAGCGCAACAACGGATTAGTGCATTTGAAAGCAAATAAGTTTTGGCTTCATGGCGTATCACGGTACGAAGTTTGCAGTTTCGTCAGTGCGTGCTTTGGTTCAGTGTGCTTTGCCACTTCAAAAAATAGTCAAACACCCACACATCGAATAAGATTTGATTGTTCTGCTTTATATACGCTTTATGTTTGATCATAGTGAGTCTCTCTCAAACTAGAATTTAATAAACTTTCTTATTGTAAGATTTCACTTTGTTTATTTAGCCAACTGAGGAGAAAATAAAAGTAATTCTACGTTCTGGAGCTCAAAAACCATGTGAACACGACCGGGTTATTGTCGATGTGTCACTCGTTGTTGATACTAAAGCGATTTTTCAGAACCAGATTATTACTTTTGATGTGGGTCATGCAGAAGACTTTGGAGTTATGAAGGCTGTGGATGATATTGTCCAAGGCATGGGCTGTGGCGAACACTGTGAAGTGACTCTGACATCTGACTATGGCTTCACAGATTTGGAGAGGGCATTTTTGAAAATCAGTGATGAATCTACTCATAAATTGGTGTTTAACATACATCTCCAGGATGTTCGAAAGGTAGGTTGATAAAATAATTTTCACCTAAACATCCGTAGCTTGCAGAGTTTTGGCAAATGTCTGAAAGTGAAAAGTTTGTTGTGGCTGATGTGATGAAATGTCGTGGTAATAAGCTTCTAAAAGTAAGTACTTTCGACATATGTAAACTCACCTCCAAATCTAGTGGTTATTCTTTTTACATTAAGATTCGGGTTCTGTGGTTGCAGGATGATATCTGCTGTCGATCAATAGCCACTTACTATCTAAACAAATTGAAGTGGTTATAGTTATTTTATGATTGCTATTCAGTGTATCTTATAATCCATAGTTTATACAGTGCTTTATGTATTTAACTGATTTTTGTGTAGTCGTTATTTTCTAGTTTGGCTGATAAAATGACTGTTAGTACTTGTATTAACTGCCTGTCATGCGTAACTCAATGCTGTGTTCTAAGCCAGGTTCTCTTCATTTAGACAATAAATTTAAAATCAACTATTATCTCAATTTGATTTCTCTGACGTCTTTAAAACATAGCGTTTTCAATTTTTAGTCATCTGTCTCAACTCTCTGCTGTAGGTTTTCCGATAACTTTACTTCAAAAACACGACGGTTTAAAGTAACAAAAATAGCATATTATGGAAGTTATAGACGTCCTTTTTTGTTATAAGTATGCAAAAAATGTTTCACAGATTTAAAGCGATCACTAATGACGATAGATTTGCATTATACTTTCTAAAAGTATTTAAGCATTTATTATGGAATAGTTATATTCATAATCGCCTCCGATCGGCTTAAAGAATAACACCAAAACTAAGTTTTCTGGTACTGTTGCCATGAGTATTGTTGCTTTTCTTGCATTTGATATGCACTGAGGGTTTTGAATTTTCTGTAGTCATACTTTCCTTAGGTGTATTTGGTAAACACTTTAATTCCGATGTGATTTGTGTACAACGGTAGTGTTGAAGACCTGTTTAATCTTTTACTATTGCAAAGCAGTAAGATTATTCATATCTGACATTAGCTTTTACCAAACAATTTTAAACGAAAGTATTATGGACCAAGCTAAAGCAACAAAACCTCGTATGAAATTTCTGAGTTAAAGTGATATTTTTTCGTAAGTTGTGTATCTGAAGACAGTTTTTAAATATTAATTCATATGCATTCCAGATTGGATCATTGGTTCGTGCGTTCAACTGCTACAAAAAAGCTATCAGAATCTTAGAGGGAAGCATTAGTGTGACTGATGAAAACTATACTGATCCAACAATGACAGATTACCAATTATCAAAACCTAGTCCACGTCAATTATTAGCTATTTGCCTATCTAATGCAGCCCATTGCCTGTTTAAATTTGGCACGACATGCACTGTCAATCCAAAGAAGTCTCAATTCGACTACCTTTATGCATGTATCAAATGCTGTGAGCGAGCAGTCAATCTCGAACCAAACTATATAAAGGCATGGTTCCGTTTAGCCAAGGTTAGTTATATATATATTACCTAATGTAGGGTATCGGTCATTATTCTAGGCGTTACTGGCACACTTTTTGCTTCTGTTTTCTTGCTCTTCTTTGACGGAACATGTCTGACTTTTGTTCTTTTAAGATTAGTCCTAGTACACCATGTGAAATTGAACTGCATTACTGGACTGGTTTGTTTGTTCTACACAGAAACGTAAAGTGATTAGAGATAGTCAGCAAAAAACACTGAACATAGGTTTCGCGCTATTGGGCACTCATCAGCAAGGTTTGCTTACTGTACAGTTTATATTCATCCAGATTTGCTGTGCTACAGACCATAGTTTGCTAATGTTCTCTGATAGTATGAAGTAATCGTAAATATAATGATTGGTAAAGGTTTTTATTGTTACGCGTAACACATGTAAGACATTTTACAAGTGAAATCATTATTGATGCAACTTTCACATTAAATGAGTAATATAAGCGTTTCTAACTAAGTCATATTGCTCAATACCTTTTTGTTTGTAGACTCATGCTTTATTAGGGAACTATGAAGAAGCTCTTAGAACTGGAGGGAAGTGTCTCACATATTCTGCCGATGAAAACTGTTATGGCTCTAAATGGATTAGCATCGATGAACGCACAAAAGTTGATATCAGCAACAAAATAAAAACACTACTGTCAGAATGGCGTGTTTCATTAGCTAGTGAAGAAAAAACTGAAAGATCCATTATTCGGAACCGAACAGTTCAAAAGTATTCATCTTTCGGAGATTGGTGTGTAAGTGTCCTAACTTCATTGTCTGTGTTGAAAACGTTAGATTATAAAGTTGTGTAGAAAGTAATGGATGAAATTAGATTTTCCATATTCTATATTTCCTGTGTAAATATACCTTCATATTTTATAACAAGTACTTATATATGTCATGTTTATGGACGTATATTAAATACAATAATTATTAGGTGCTGTTATAAAATATAACTAAAGTCATTTGAGTTTCAAGATAGTTTTCTTAACGGAATGACAAAGGGTTCTCTATATGACTTCAAATCAAACCAATTTCCAAAGACCACCCAACCAAATGAGGTAGGCGTGTTAAGCCATAGATTAAGATATAACGTTCTGGAAAATTTCGGTTTCTGTGCATTGAGTGAGAGTTCATAGTGCGAATATATAAACTCTTTAACTTTCTTTAGGTATTAAGCATTCTTGTCCATTTATTCTGTCAACTTCGTATCCATTGTTGTTATAAAGTTCAGTAACTTGGGTGGGTACAGAATTGTGCCAAGCTCTGCGTTATTTATAATGGGCTCACTCAAATTATAATGACAAGAAATCATAGGTTTTAATGATTAATACTGTTAAATTTTATTTTGTAACGTAGTGATATTCATTTTTGTTTTTCGAAAGTATGATGAAATGGATGAAATTGAAAAATTGCCTATTTCTGTATGGTCAAATGACCTAGCAGAGAATATGATGTCTCTTCATGAAGAGCTTGAAGCATTTGGAGAAAAAATGCCTGAATTCAAAGCTTCCAGAGCAAGGGGTAAAGATAGATTAACAACAATTCAAGATGAAGACACCGATGAAGACAGTTTCCAGCAGAATATGATTTAAGTACCAAGTATCCACACAAACAGTCAAATCGACGTCGCATGATTAGAAAAATAAACCCTGTTAAATTCAAATGAACTATAATAATGTACATTCATAAATTATTAATTTTGTACAGAAATAATTCGATAAAAGTATTATTATCGTACATCGTAAATATTTTCTACGGTTTTTCATTAACAGCACGTTTAATTCGAAATTCTGGGTAAATATTTTCCATTTTCATATAAGGTTTTAAAACATCTGGAATGATAATATGCCTATCCTAAAAATAAGATAAATAGAGTAGATTAGTTCTTCAGTATAGATAAAGACAGCTCATAAAATTACCTTTAGGTTTGCTGGTAAGAGAAATATTGAGTTTGGCTAGTGAATGGGTTCATCTTAATCATATATAGTTGAGTCTAGTTCAGTGCAGATACTAATGCAAATCAATGCTGGATCATACGATGAACACGCATTAGTAAGACTCAAATTCTAAGTAAAGTTGATACAACTTAAATATCAAGTACAGTTTTAGAGCTGCACTATTTGCATGAGGCTTATTGATATCACTCATTTGCCCCAACCAAACCAGGTAGAATGAGGTATGAAGTTGGGATTGGCTAGTTAAGAAATGACTTCAAGCTATCGCTGAAGTTGAGTTGACCGTTTATGCTAGATTTCTGATCCAAAGTTTTTTTCAAAGAAACAAGACAATATTTTTTCTTGTTCATTGGAGAAAAATATCAGAAATTATAAATATTCCTAGTTGTATTGTTTTTGCCGTGAAATCAATGATGAAACATTTAAAAAATAGGCAAAACAACATTGAACTGGTTTTTACGAATGATGTATCAAAGATATAATAAAAATTGATTTTTTTAAAAATAATACTTAAGTAAACAAGTGTTTAGGAAATTCACAGTCAGCATAACAATACATGTACACTTTATTCATTTACGAAAAGGAATTTGGATATATTAGACTTTCATTACAGAAAATACTCGGTATTAGTTAGGCCTAACAATGAGAAAAAATCAAGCGAAGAGAATAGTGTAATATTCTGTATATGTTAAAACGTCCCTAGCAGCAATTTATAATATGGGGTATCGAATTGCGACTGAGTAGACAAGATTATCAGTTGCGTTGATTCAGACGAAATAGTAAAAACTGAAAACTATGGAAACGTTTCTTAGTTATATTGGTTTATTTCGGTAGATGGTATCTTATGTTAGTTTCATCTAAATGAATTTCGCACGACAGGTCACATCCTTCGTTACAAATACAAACTATTAAAACATACTTGTTTAGTGGAAAAATAATCGGCAGTCGTACAATTTATAGCGTGTACTGATGTCTTTACTTCAAAAACGAAACCTTCAACTGCAGAGCACCTTTAGGCGTCTTTCAAAATCTAACCCGATAAGATTTATTATTGTTGTGCATATTATTAGTGAGCAAAAATCGTCCACAATATAACTGATAACTAACTGACATTATGCATAATTGAAAATTAGGGAATCCACATACCTGAGTCTGATGGGTCTCTATTAGAGCTTTCATTATACGTGGGATTGCACAAGCAGTTCCATTTAACTGTAAGTACCAGAAAAGTAATAAGGTGGCTGACCGTCAAGGATGTCATTATTATCATTATTTTATTAAAAGATAACTATCTTTGTATCACTGAATAAACTAACAAATGAAGCTAAAAGCATGTGAGGATTGATGAACTATCAAGTTAATTATTCTCATTCAACTATAACTGTTTTGGTTTTTAGTGTACCGACTGTTGTATTTAAATTAGTACTGTAAGTCAGTTTTTGGTTGGATGCATGAATTAGTTTAAGAGCTATATGTCCATAACTTTGAACACTTAACTATTCACCATGCCTTTCAAACACTAGGTTACGATTATTCACAAGTTTAAGGCGTACGACTTTCGGACACCGATTCCCGGGTTCGAGCATCGCACTACTTCAGTTTGGGTAACCGGATTGTATCATCAGACCTCACATTCAAGGTATAGCTCGTATCCAAATACCCAAGGAATAAGTTGATTGAAGTTTATAAATTAAAAAAATACCGTTGCAAACACCGGCCCTAAACTGACTAAATAAATTTAGACTCAATACATTACATATAAATAAGTTTTCTTAATGACCTCCGGGTACTACATTAAATATACACTTTCAAAATTTATCATAGTTTTACTGACAACCAGAATTATCTGGGGACAGTTTTACAAATTTTGCTTCAGTGAGCAATAAGGCCAACTAATGATTCCTAACTAGCTACTCAAAATTCGATTCAATGATCTCACTAGCTTCGTGGCAAAATAATACTTTATAATAATCATTGTATTGTAATCTGAAAGACTTTTAATAAATGCACAATTCATTATTATAAACCCACTAACTTATTAGATGGATTATAGTTGCACAAATCCATAGGAATTCAGCTAACACAAACGTTCACAGATGGAATATTAATTTTACAAAAATTAGTCAAAAATAGATAAAAGTTAAAATAATTAAGCATATCATAATCGTAATACAAATGCTTACAGTGTAAGCAAATTCATCTTGGTCTCTAGATGTTTGCCATCGAATATTTAGACGTTTCGACTGATAATCAAGGCAAATTGATGAACTAGAAATCTGTGTAAAATAGAACACATGAAGCCGTATAAGTAAATATGGATAAAACGGCTTATAAGTGCTGGATTAAAAACAGGGTGGACAGATGTGACATTTTTATGTTTCGTTCGGACAATAAATAAGAAGGATATTCTCAATAGGCCACTTGGTAGTATGCTCGCTATATCTCTGTCTGATTTTACGACTTTTGATCCAATTATTCAGTTGATATTCTGGGAATAATCACAGAATCCATTCCAATTTATAGGGATGATCAGTTTGACATAAACAGCAATGTTAAACATAAAGGACATTAGATTGTTTGAAGTGTTAGTTCGATAACTGTTTAGGTGATACATTTTTACACATGAGCTACTGCAGTGTCAGTCATCCGTTGGGAATCATTAATTTTCTCAAATAGACCTCCTATTTATGTTTCAACGATGTATCTGAGAAGAAAGCATCATCACAACGAACAAAAGATGGGACCGATCCAGTTTGTGGACTAGCTGGTTGAGGTTGACGAGATGATAGTAATCGATAGTTAGAGACCTTGAATGACATGCCTAAAAACCGTTTGTAATGGCGCAGATGCATCCACTCTTTGTGTTCTCGCAAATACAATCTTCTGAATTCCCATGACCGTTTTCTCGCTTACATTTATTTTTCCGGATGATAATTTTTGAATAATATCTTCGAACCCTAATCTTCTTCATCACCGCTTCTACTTCTACTACCTCTACTACTATGGGATTTGAACTAACATTTCTATGTCTCAGTACTAATGTTGTGTCAACTTGAACCGATGTACTTACTTACCAAGTTCTACGTTGTGACTTACTGATTGATTGATTAAGATTAGATGTTCTGGATTACACTGAGGAGAGCAGAAATTGAAAAAGTCATGTCAGGTTGTACAAAATCCAGTGTCGAGGAAGCCATGCTGAGAACCAGTGATAAGACTTTCTGTGACTAAATAGTTAAAATTTTGTCATCAACAAGTTTTCCTAATGTTTCCCAAATAAGTGGAATGGTATTCATGGGTTGATGTCAGTTTCGTCTGCAGACTCATAACGTGGTATGATGTATGCGGTTTTCGAACGGTAAGTACCTATCTTCAGAAAGAGAATGAAGTAGAGGAATATGAGAACAACCATATTTGAAGAAAATAGATGAAATCTTGTACCCGAAAATCTCATATAATTATCAACTCACCTCTCCGTACATTTGATCACCTGGCATCCAGGTTTCAATATCAACTTTTCTGTAAGCTGAATCACCAAGCTCCTCCGATGGCATTTCAAGAACTCTGAGTTAATAAAGATATGAAAATTAATAATATATTGAGTATAAAAACCAATCGACGCTTATATATATATATGTATATATATATATATATATATATATATATATTGAAGCCTACAATCCACCATCAGTCAGTGACAACATAAAACTTTGTACGTAATTACATCCGTTCAAGATGACATACAAGC